AGTTGGGTCTTAGAATCCTCCCCTTTTCAGTCATTGTTGTCTCAATTTGTCCCTATGTATGCTGAACGTTCATTACTATCTTGCTATAGCAAATCTCTCCTTATTTTAAGCTTATAATGCTCTCTTCCTAGTAAGGATTGCACTCCTCTGCTTTTATCAGCCTGCTAGTCACTTTACACCTAATTATGTTTGTTTGTTTATTTGTTTTTGATATTTTGTTTTAGGTGAGCTGACCCCTTTCAGTATTTCCTGTAGTGCAGGCCTCGTAGTGAAGAATTCCCTCAATTTTTGTATGTCTGGAAACTCTTAATTTCTCCTTCACATATAAAGGAGAGCTTAGCCGGATACATTATTTTAGGCTGGTAGGTCCTTTCACTTAATAGTTTAATATTTGATTCCATTTCTTTCTGACTTGTAAGATTTGCTTTGAGAAGTCTGAGGATAATATAATGGGTTTTCCTTCATAAGTTACCATCTTCTTTTCCCTACCTGCCCTGAAAATTCTATCTTGTCATTGATTTTTGATAACTTTAATAAAATGTGACTTGGTGAAGGCCTTTATAGGGTGAGATAATTGGGTGTTCTGTTGACTTCTTAATTCCATGCTCCAGTTCATTCCTTAGATTTGAAAATTCTTGTGAACTATTTGTCTGAAAATGCTTTCTATCCCTGCTTATTTTCCTCCCCCTTGATAATGCCCATTATTCTTGTTTCCTCTCCTGATGGTATCAGCTAGTTCTTGTATTTCTCTTTCATTATTTTTAATTCTTCGGTTTCTCTCTTCTTCTTTCTAATTTATTTCTAAATTTCTGTCTTCGATATCACTGATCCTTTACTCTATTTGGTCGACTTTATTTCCCAAGCTTGTCATTTCATTTTTCATGTCTTGCAATTGGTTCATTATCTCCAGAAAGTCTATTTGGTTCTTTTCGAGGGTTTCAATCTCCTTGCTAAAGAATTCATTCTGCTTATTTAGTTGTTTTTTCAATTTTTGAAATTGTTGATATGATTCTATTCAGATCTCATTGAGTTTTTTTCAGAAGTACCGTTCTGAATTTTCTTTTATTAAATTGCATATTTCTATGTCTGTAGCTTATTTTCTGGAGATTTTTCTCTTTCTTTCTGAGATGCCTTGTCATCTTGGTTGTTTATGGTGTTTACTGGACTATTTCTCTGCCTCAGTATTAATGGTAGTGTGTTCTGCTTTATTATTTTTTAAGAAAGATTTATTATATAATGGTCTCTAGCTTTTTGCAAATAAGGTGTTTTTTGTTTGTTTGTTTTGGTTTCCAATATGTGGAATCTAAGCCTCTTGGATCTCTGCTTTATATAAAGTCTTAATAATGTCTTTTTTTTTTTTGTATAAATGTTTAATCATGCTTGCTATCCTTAGCCTCAGTTCCTGTCAGTGTTAGCAACAGTTTTGGTAGCGTTTGGTCAGATTCTCCTGGGACACCACGGTGATCAGTCTCAGGGGTTATGGGGGGAGGGGCCCTCTGGGTTGGGGAATGGGGGCTGTGGCTCAGCCTTGTTTTTACAACCCTGGCTGGTAAAAGTCAATTGTTGTTTCTCTGCCATCCCCTCTTTTCTGCCATCTCCATTTCTCTGTCTTCTGTTTTGATGACTGGGCACTGCTGCCACCTGAGTGGAGTGCACAGCACTCCCAGGCAGGGTTGTTCAGGGAACTCTCTGCACTTTCTTCCTTCTCCCTCCTCCTACAGAAAGCTCCAGCTGTGAGAAGCAACATCTTTGTGTCTCCCAGTCCTCCACCTGACACCCAGGTTTCTGACCTGTGATAGCTCTTATGCACAGATCCCAGGCTCAGACATGCTGGTGTGCAGTTTGGGTGTATTTTGTTGAGTTTTAGATGTTCAGCTTATTGTTATTTCAAGGGGAGAGATCTGGGGATGTCTCTCACTTTGTCATGTTTAATCTAATCTATTTTTTTTTCTGATGACTAGATTATTTCAACATTTCTGTCATCTAGATCATTGATTCCTTTTTGTTGTTGTTGCTGATGATGCTCTTTATTGCATTTTTTAATTTTATTTTTTAAATACCTAGATCCAGAATTTGTTTGGTTCTTTTATATGATTTCTATATCTTTGTTGAATTCCGCATTTTTGTACATAAATTATTTTCCTGATTTTGTTGAACTGTCTTTTGTGTCATCTTGTAGCTCACTGAGTTACCTCAGAACAGCTAATTTAAATTCTTTGTTGGGGATGTCACAGAAATCTGTGTTTTTGAGATTGGTTACTGGATGATTATTGAGATTTTTAAAATGATACCACATTTCTTTGATTTTTCATTTTCCTTGGAGTTTTATGTTGATATTGCATTCGAAGTAGCAGTCACCTCTTCCAATCCTTACTAGTTGCCTTCATTTGGGAGATACTTTTCCTTGGTCCTGCTTATATATGGAGTTTTCTCTGACCTTATAAAAATGTACTTGCCTCGTGCTTCTTTTTTTCTCTTTTATGGAAGAATTTCTAAACTTGTATATATATTTTTATCTTACAAGGCTGGTTGTTGGAAATCTCTTGTATTTCCTTGAATGTGGCACTATGGCTCAAGTTTTTGGTTTCTCGACCTCAGACCCTACTAAGTTTTCTGCATACACATCCTATCTAATGAAGCTTGCTCTTTCCATTGTTTTGGGAAACATAATAAGGAGCTGGCTACAGTGTGGGAGAAGGTGTTGTTTTCACACTTGGGGGTGCCCACAAGTTAGATTAGTGAATCCTCCAGTGATGATTTCCTAATGGCCCTTGGGCAGGATTCCTTCTAGAGCCATTTTCTGCTTGTAATTGAAAATTTTAATCCATTTATTCTTAACATAATTACTAACATCAAAGCACTTCTGCCATTCTATTTGTTTTTTTTTTTTCTGTTTTAAACATTTCTTTGTTTCTCAAGTTCTTCTTTATAAATTTTATTTGTAGTTGATTTTATTCTAGTGTCCCAAGTACTATGACATATCATAGGCTGTTATGGCCAATCCCTTTGCCTACAAATGCTTCGGGACAAAGCTGCCTGAGAAGCGACCCCTTCCCTAGCTATGCTACAATTTGTATAAAACAAAGAGAAGTTTTTTCATTGGTGTTGAGGGAGTTGTCAGATACGTTGAAACCTCATATTGTTCTCTATGGCATTAGCGACATGCACTAGGAGTGCTTATTACCATCTTTATAGTTTCTGCCAATATGGACTGTAAAGAATGAAAAGCAGGGAATTTTAAATGACATGAAGCTCTATTATCACCAAGCAGATACCTTTTTCTTCCCCAATCCTTTCTCCAGTGGTGTAAGTTTTTGACTAAGTTGATAGTTATTAAAAAATTGATTCTGAACATTTGGCTACCTCATTAGTTGATTTTTTGGGGAACATAACCCTAGATTTGCCTACTCTGCCATTTTGGATGATATCTCTCATTATTGATTTTATAATAGTTCTTTATACTATGGGTATGAATTTGTTATTTTTGTTGTAATTGTTTTTCTGGTTTGTTGTTTTTGTTTTAATTTTTGTTCATAGAGTGTTCTTTATTATATTTATGTTCTTGATGTGTCTTCTAGATTTTATGAACTACCCTATAATGTAAAATGGGAAACTCTAGGGGCCTAATACCTCATCAGAAGATCAAGAAAACATAGTAACGTGGTTTTACTTTTCCTTTCTGCAGGCCAGTGTGTCAAATATCAAAACTGGCTACCTTTCCATCATCATGGATCCTGAAATGATGCCCGTTGATCAACAGTGTGATAGGCTTCCTTATGATGACCTGAGGTGGGAATTCCCTAGGGACCGGTTACAGTTGGGTAAGCACCAATCTCTATTTTATCACTCTTCCAATTTTTTCACCATAGAGTTACAAAACCAAGAAAAGGCCCAAGAAAAAGCAATGAATTAATTTCCATAATGCACTTAATATATTATGTGCAGTGCTGTTCAACCCCATTCACGATGAACCTAGACAAAGTGGGATGTGTTTTAAATATTGTAATATAGATAAGAGAAGCCATAAATCAGAGGAGCAGAATAATGTTGCACACATAGCATGAGACTGGGAGGTTTTAGATTTACAAACTGGGTGAACTTAGTTAATACAAGTCGCTTAACTTCTCTGAGCTCCTTTTTAAATCTATAAAAGGAGAATATTAATAATGATAGGTGTCCTATCTATATTTGGTTACCACTGTGAAGATGTAGCGAGGTAACATTTGGGAATGTGTTTTATAAATTTAAAACACCTCACAAATGGAAGGTATTGGTTTACAATGGAGTTTATTTGAAGTAAGTTGACTTGGGAGGCAGAGTCCTGTCAATAAAGAAAATATAGTGAATGTTCACAGAAGTATATTTAATATTCCAATAACTAATGTGCATCTTGGTGAGGCAGATGACCAGGTGGCTTGACTAACACCTGAATAACTGGTTTGTGTCTATAGACCACCATAAATCTAGCCCAACCCATATGGCCCTTTCTCTCAATGGTTGGCATTGGATATCCATTTATTCACTTATTCCACACATAATTATTGGTCACCTACCATATATTAAGCATTTTTCCAAGTACCGGGAATATATCAATGAACAAGACAGAATTTATGGAGCTTATATTATACTGGGGGGAATTGATAATAAATATTCCAGCATAATTTTATCTAGTGGTAAGTGCTATAAAAGGTATTAAAGCAAGTTAAAGAAATGGAGAGTAACAACATTGTTACTTCACATGGGGTGGTCTAGAAAAACCTCCCAGAGAATGCTGACTCTGCAGTTACAATGCCCATTGCAAGAAACCAACTTTTAATTTTTCTTTATGGTCTTTCAGTGGCTACTGCTCATTTTTACTTATTGCCCCCTTAGGCAAAATCCTTGGTCATGGTGCCTTCGGTAAAGTGGTAGAGGCCTGTGCCTTTGGCATTGACAGAGCTTCAACTTGCAAAACAGTGGCAGTGAAAATGCTTAAAGGTAATATTTATATTCCTTTGGAGGCCATTGAGGAGCAGCTGCAAGGATGCATGGGGTCAAGTAGAAAACTGGACTGTAAAAGATATGAAGTTGAAGTAGTAAAGGGAGGTAACTACAACCAACTTCTACCTTCATTTGATTAATGTTCTCCATGGAAACCTCAGCCGTGGACACATGAATCAATCATCATGAAACATTGTATGTCAGTCTATTTGTTCTTTTGGATTCAGAAACATAAATACAGAAGTAGAGACTTGAGGTTTTTACATGTTAGTAAGGCCAATATGAGTCAGCAATTGCATTTAGCTGCTAAAATTTCTATATAGTCTTCCAATGTATCGTAGAATTAGCTGATATAGAATAATCTTTAATAGGATCGCAACTGGATTCTGCACTGATCAGGCTACATAAACCTATAGTCTGGTTGCAGTATCGAATAGATAAATTTATATGTAACTAAACATCCCAATACCATCCAGTCCATGCCCCTGACTCCACACAGAAAAATACTTAAACCAAACTTGTCCAATTTACCAATTGCTCAGAAAAAGTTTATCAAAAAAGGTAGCTATCAAAGAATGTCTTTTTTCAAAATTAAAAAGAGAGTATAAATGAGCCTGTTAGTACATAAAGCTCAAAATCCAGGCAAGCTAGTGCATGGAAAGATATTATTTATCCATTTAAAATATTGTTTGGAAAATACAAAAACTAATCATTGTGCTCTGGGCATTTCTGCCAGGATTCTTAGCAGTAAACAGGATCGCCTATGCTCTTGCTGCCTCTCTCAGGAGAAACAGTCCTTTTGTGCATTACTGTGTTTATTTTAAGCAGATTGTGCAACTTCCAGTGAGTTTAAGGCTTTGATGTCAGAATTGAAGATCCTTATTCACATTGGTCACCACCTCAATGTGGTTAACTTGCTGGGTGCCTGCACCAAACCTGGAGGTAAGGAGTCTTCCATACCTGGCCAGAAGTTCCCTGTGGGGGTCAGAGCACTCAGAGGCAAGGTAGACCATGATTTAGATAGGCCTTCATGTACTGCATGTGAAGTTCTTCTAATTTAGAGACTCCTTGCAATGCATAGAACCTTTAGAGTCTATGTTCTTTGACCCCTGTTCCAGGCAATATTGTACAATATATAGTGGGATCAGATGTATCACTAAGATTCTTGCCAGCTTGGACAGCCTATCAAGTCTTAGACACATTAGTTGAACAGAAAATTTTGAGGTGCTAAGGAGGTATACCAATATATTCAAGAAAGGGGACTCCATAGCCCTCTTGAGTTTCCCATTTTAACTTCTACCTTCTTAGCTTAGCACTAACCACTAAAGCCTAAGGAGGGGTTTTATCCAGTTAATTAATAAGCAAGTCTAAAACCCCTGTCCATTTGCAGATTTGAAGGCATTCCCTCAAATACACCCAAAGCCCTTTGTTTTTTTTTCCCTATTTTACAGTGCTACTGCCCTCTTCTCTTTCATTTAACTTTATTTTAAACATTTTCTGAGCCCCTACTGAGCTTATGTGAGGCACTAATCCAGGGGTTTGGAGGGGATTGGTGGTGGTGGTACTGCTAAACTACATAGATAAATAAAAGATGGCTTCAAGACATATATAATTTGTGATGTGGACAAGCACAGAAAAATAGGCTATGAGAAACCTGCAGACAGTCTTAAGCCTATCATGGAGTAATATGATGAGAGTTGAGAGATGCATTTTAGCAAGATAATGGTATTGAGGGTAAGGCAAGAGGGTAGAGCGTAGAGAGAAGGGCTCCGTTAAGTAAATGGATAAAATATCTGGCTGGTTGGGTATTTCCTTGCCTTCATCATTGAACTGTAGGCTGCATGTGGTCAGGTGCTCTGTCACACTCATTCTTACATGTCTCATGTTAGCCAGCCCAGGAAACACCACAGTAAAGGTACATTGTGGTCTATTGATCTAATTTTCCCTTTCTGCCAAATCTTCCTTCTTCTTACTCATAAATCAGCCACATGTTTCTGGATTAAATCACCACTGTATCCAGCACAAGTAAGCAGTCAACTGGTTCCCAGCTAGAGAAATTCTGTATGAGATTTTAGGACATTCCCTGGTCAGCAGGTTACTAGGACAAGGCGAGCCCAAGAATTGGCTACCTTTCATAATTCCTGGAAATATGACTGTGTTGTACTTTTGGCAGGTCCTTTGATGGTTATTGTAGAATTCTGTAAATATGGAAACCTGGCCAACTTTCTGAGAGGAAAGAGAGGAGATTTTATTGCTACCAAGGTAGGTTTCCCCAACTGAATCCCATACTCATCCGCATTTTTGAATACTATCTGAAGATTTTTAATGATAAAGAAAGAGTGAAGAGTGAAAAAGCAGAGGCCAGAAAACTACTAATCAGGGGATATAGGGTATGCATTTATGCATCCAATAGAGACTTGGACTCAATCACCTCTAAAGTCACTTCCAATGCTGAGGTTTCTCTGAAACAAGCAATTCAGCATTTTCCTGGCATTGGCTGAAATTACATCTTTGGTTTGTGTCACCCTCCATTTACTCTATGAGATCCAGAACAGTTAGCTAGCCTAAAATCCCATGGTACCTTTTTAATTTAATAGCCATGAACTTGAGCTCTCTGAAATCACCTGAAGCTCTGAGAGAAGGTCTTTCCTCTACCCTAATTGCAGCAAAGGGAAAAGGAATGAGAAATTAAAACAGAGGTGTCTCCATTGTATGATATATGCTCCATTTCTAAGCACAGAGCTCAGAAATATGGTAATCTGGCACACTTTGGGGTACCATATGCCACCAGATATTCTGGCATAAGGAAGACTTCCTGACTTATGGGCCAAGGAAACACCTTCAATAATCAACTCTTGGATGTTTTCTCTCATCAGAGATAAGTAAACTGGCATCATGTCATAGGGAACAGTACCCTAGATTGCTAGTCAACATGCTCAGCTTCCTTCCAAATTGTCTCTTTGAGTAATTGCCTTATACTCTCTAGATTTCAGTTTCCCAGTGGAAACATGAAGTAGGATGGAATAGATCATTTTTAAGTCTTTTCCAGCTCTGAGGATCTATTTAAACTCACAGGCCCTATTCAATATGGATAAAAAGATGAAGACCTCTCATGATTCTGACTGCAAGCCCACCCAACTAGTTAAGCACCGTCTGGAGAGCATGGCTAGCACAGGAAGTTCCACCAGCTCTGGCTTCATTGAGGACAAGAGCTATATTGAATCTGATGAAGAGGAAGAAAGTAACCGCTACCTTCTGGGAGCCACAACAACCCACCGAGTAGGTATGTGGGACCCTTTTCTAGCCAATACTCATGGCTACCAGAAGTTTGAAGGTAAAGATTGTGTTGGAGGAGTGAGATCACTGTCAAGAAAGTTCCAACTAGTGTTGAGGTAGATGATCCCGAAAATCATGTGAATTCCTCTGTAACCGTTGTTACTCAACTTGAAAGACTTTTGGTTCTAAGCTCAGCTTTCACTTCCATTAGCAATCTGGGGTAGTTTACAATGACAATCTCCCATATTGTTCTGGAACCTTATAGTTTCCAAAGCAGTTTCCAATAAATTCTTTCCTTGAACTTCATGACTTTCTTGTGAGACTAATAAGGATGTTTATCTCCATTTGACAGAGGAGAAAACTGACACTCAGAACAGGGATAATATAAAATATACTTAACAGATACTGCCTGGTAATCAAAATATTTAACAGGTATGTAAGATATTGGCAAGTGGATATTACTATGTAAATATTTTACAAATATTAAAATATTTAACAAGGTATGGCACAAATAGTGACCAATCAGAATACATGTCTGATGTAGCCCTGGAACAGAGTCTTGGGGTTACTGGATCATGGTAAAGTCTAGGCAGGGGTGGAATAATTGTAGTTGTGAGGGCACTTGGAGAGCTTAACAATAACTACTTACCAAGCAATATGGAAATATTTCAAGATGAAGCAACTTTTATAGCTGTACCAGTGTGCACCACCTCAATTTGATCTCGCTCAGCTAATTAAGAGAAAGAATAGAAATTGAACTCAGGTATCTCATCTCTTTCTAGTTTACTCTTACACTAGTTTGAACTGATAGGTTCAGGCACTGAACTTGAGTGACACTTGTCCTATTCTGCCTGAGGTTTCTGCCTGACTGTGGGATCCACTGTTGACCCTGATCTTCCCGGTTTGCTATGCCCTTGGCTCTTCTCTGTTCCTCTTATTGTCCTTTTGGTCATGAATAAACTACATGTGATATCTGTCTAGCTTTAATGCATGTTGAGACATCTCCTGCACTGTGAGTTAGTAGATCTGGGTTTTATTACTGCCTCCATCACTGATATACCTTAAGCAAGTCACATCTCTTCTCTAGGCTTCAATTTTTCCTACTTGTAAAATGACAATAATAACTTGGACTAGAATCTTTGTAAATATTCTTATAATCCTAATCTGGTGCTATTAGAACATTGGGAATAGCAGAAGGAATTTCTGTGAACTTTTCATCTATCGACAGAAATTGGGGGATGATGGTCTAGCAATGAGTATGGTATATAGTGACCGTACACTGTGATTACAAAAATTCAGACCTGTTGTCACCATAAATCATGAGAACTTTCTGAACATTTCCAAACTTTAGCATCCAATAGACGTCTTCCAGATTCTCTCTTATACTCAGAATTGGCAAGAAAATCTGGACAAACCATGTATTTGTTTTTGTGGGGTATTTGTGAAATAGGTGGTAACCAGAGAACAGTAAAGGTGTGAGGTGTCGAACCCCCGAAGACATCCTTGTAGATTATTTTAATTCACAAGCCCATCACTTCAAAATACACATGAAGTCTTAGTAGTGTACGGTCCGTCCAGGTCTTGTTGTCAAAAATCTTTGCCCCTATTCTGCAAGGTTTTATGTAATGCAGGTTTTTCTTCCTCTCTAGATTTTTCTACTGCTAACTCTACAGACTCGTGAGAAAGCTTCAACCACTGGCTTTTTTTCTCTAACCTTATTTTCTCTTCTTTAGACTTGAATAATCTCTACAAGCACTCCCTCACCTTGGAGGACCTGATCTGCTATAGCTTTCAAGTGGCAAAGGGCATGGAATTCCTCACTTCCAGAAAAGTGAGCATTAATTATTTTTCTTTTATTTTCACTGGAGAGATAGAGGAAGTGTATTCCCATTATACCAGTTTCCATAGCTTTTCTTTTTTTCTGTAGTCCACTCTTACACTTGTCTGTCTCCCTTTCTCTAATTGTTCTTTCAGAAATTCACACATATATTCACCTTACAAAGAACTATTCATCTGCCTACCTGCAGTTTTACGGGCTTATTTTTCAAACTCTAATCTAAAATATGGCTGTAATATTTAATGCCAGCAGTTCAGGTTATTATATTGAAATAAAAAAAATCAGCCAATATCACTTGATTACTTATTATGTTCTCTATGCTAAAACAGCTAGAGATACCACCATGAAAAAATACAAATTCTCTTTCCTCAAAATTTACTGAAGAAAATAGATACTACATATAACAAAATAAGATAGATCCTATGATAGAAGTATGAAATAAGTGATATGTGATGATATGGAAGGAAGCCTAGAAAACCTGTGTGCTATTTTCAGAGGAAGTTATATTTAAGCAATATCATGAAAACATGAAAACTAGGAAATTTTTCATAATTCCATGGAGGTGGGGTGGATGAAGAAATGCAACTAAACAAAGAGCTTGACATTGATTATAAAAGTCTTTGAAAATCATACAAAGAAATTTGAACTTTGATGGTTTCCAATTGTCACAAAATAAAAAGTTTTAAGTTGGAACATGCTCGGGTTTGTGCTTAAGGAATTAGACTTTGGGGACTAGAGTGGACTATGGACTAGTTCATGGGGCTAGACTAGAGGTAAAGATAACAGTAAGAATACCATTGCAGTGGTTCAAATGAGAGAAGGAAGGGTCTCTGTGACCCAGAGAGCTAGCAGTGGAATGCAGTGGGGAGAATAGATTTATATTCTAAGGTAATATTCCAGTGTCCAAGGGACAAAACATGTTAATGATAGCCGAATGGGAGGAACTATTCCAGTGTAGTTGAGATTTTTCGCATACAACCAAATATTAGAACAGACCAACTCATCAGACAGTAAATTTTAGCTCAAAGACATTATTCTTGAGCTGAGCACTTCTAAGACACTTTCCTTTTCTGGATTTTCATTTCTTTCTCCCTCTAGACTCAATACTCAGCCTTTCCCATGGGTGTGAATCTGTAAATCTGTATTATCCTAGAGCCTAGCTGCCCTCTGAACCCCCTTTGTCCCTTTCCTCAGTGCATTCATCGGGACTTGGCTGCTCGGAACATCCTTCTTGCTGATAATAACATTGTGAAGATCTGTGACTTTGGTTTGGCCAGAGACATCTACAAAGACCCTGACTATGTCTGGAAAGGAGATGTAAGTTCAAGGTTTGCTGGCACAAATCCCCAAGCCTAGGCTCTTGGGTTCTGTTGGTAATTATGGCTGTTTTTCTCACGGCTCTCTCCCATTTTGGTTTTCTAGGCAAGACTCCCACTTAAGTGGATGGCGCCTGAAGCCATTTTTGATAAGGTATATACTACCCAGAGTGATGTCTGGTCATTTGGAGTCTTGCTGTGGGAAATATTCTCTCTGGGTAAGTGCATCTCTTTATGGCCACCCACTCACTATGCCCAGTCAACATGGGCTATAATCCCAGAACTTAAAAGACCTCAGGTTGTGGATATAGTGGATTCAGGCAGAAAAGTCTTGTGACCGATACCCATATCCACTGATCACATTGTGTCTTCAGTAACATCAACAAAATTTGTTTCGTTTATTTACTGATTGATCAAATTTTTCAATAAATATTTATTGGGAAACTATTATGCGCTAGGCATTCTAAGTTCTGGGCACACAATGGTAAATAAAGCAGATGATAATCCCTGCCACCATGGAGCTTGCATTCTGGTCAGAAAAAGCTAACCATAGACAATTAATAAATAAAATACAGAACATTTTTGATGATGTTAGATAATATGGAAAAAAAATAAGAAAAGAGAGTTAGGGAGTATTGAGATAGAGCAGAATGTAGATTGGTTTTTAAATTGAGTGGTTAAGTAGGGCCTCACAGAAAGTGAAATGCTTCCATAAAGACATGAAGAGTGAAGAAATGAGCCACACAGCTATCTAGAAGATAATTATAGGCGAGGGAAATAGCAAGTATAAAGTTCCCAAGCTTGGAGTGTGTGCAGTGAGTCTGAGAATCAGGCAACTACTGTAGCTGAAGTGGATGAGTGAAGGTAAGAGTAGTTGGAGGTGAGGTTAGAGAGAAAGAGAGGTACACATATCAGATAAGGCTTTGTTGGCACAAAGTATCTTTTTAAAGACTTTCAAAGAGCCAGAATTTGAACCTAGGCTGTATAACTCTCAAATCCTACTTCTAATCATCATGCATACTGCCAAGACATAGCATATGCTGTCAGCATTTCTAAATTCTGTTGAGCTCTGAATAAAGTGCCACAGTAAAGCTTGAAACCAGTCCTCCAAACTCCCAGTCCTACATTCCTGGTATCTGGAAGAAAAACTTTAAACTCATCAGGAATCCTGGAGCTGATAATTGTATACAAGGCTTTTTTTTTAAATAAAGAAAACAATGCCCTTACATATATTAGGACTGCATCTTACATCTGATTCTTCTCTTTCCATGAACCTGAATCCAAATTCACTCTGTGGTGCTAAGAGGTTTTTATGAAAAGCATCCAGGAATGCCTTTTTGGGAGCCAAGAGCATATAACTCACATGATAAATATTTTGTTAAGTATGTGTGTCACTGAATATAGAAAATTCAAATGTTTATAGATCACTGAGATCTAAAGTGATTGGAAGATGTTTGTCTTGCCCACAGAGGCTGCTTTGGCCCTCATCTAGAAAGTCTGGTCTCTTTGTCTAGTCTCTGAGGTAAAAGATATTTAAGAGGTGGAAAAATAAAAGATGTTTGAACAAAGGGGAAAAGACACAATTTGGTTTTTACCCAAGTCACATGCGGGATCAAAAGCTAAAGCAGTAAATTAGGACATTGCCAATAATAAATATTGATATATCAGACAACTTAGATTTCAAAACAGAATTATCTGTATCAGTTCTTTGCTCAGAAAGGAATGACTGCACTCAACCTATCTTACACACATAGCCTTTTCAGGAGAGGCTTCTTTGGGAGCAGGGGAGGTAAGCTAGCTGCTAGCATGCCTTTCCCCAGTGTTTCCCGAGATGTAGAAGCACTGACACCGCATTATACAGTGTGCTCAGGAAAGCAAGGTATCTAAACAAGCAAAACTTTGAGACGGATGAATATTTACACTTGTTCTTTTAACCTTTTTGATGGAAATAAGTAAATGAATTATAAATTTTCTTGCCTCAGTAAACTTTCAATCTGACATTGCTCCTACTAACTTCTTTTCTCTTATTTTCCTGTTTTTTCCTCTTTGTCTTTCTTCTACCTTTCTCTCAGTTTCCAAATTTACTTCCAGCAGGATTTGAATTTTATAAGCTTTGATACCCATATCCACTGATCACAATGTGTCTTCGAAGAGCAGCAACACATCTTTTGTTTTTCTTGGTTATTTTATTTTATTTTATTTTATTTTATTTTATTTTATTTTATTTTATTTTATTTTGTAGCTGGAGTTCATAGGCTTTCAGGGCTATTTCCATAAGCAGATCCTGTTCCTAAAAGGTGAGGGAACTGAAAACCTAAATACTATATAAATAAAATGTTATTAAATCTATCTTACTATTAAATAATAACACATGGAATAACAGCAGTTTTTCTCCAAGAAGTTTAGCATTTGTAAGAAGTACATAATAATGTAGATAAAAATGCTCTGTAAATTGCAAGTTACTGAACCTATTAAAAAATTGTTATTATCTAGTTTAATTATTCCAACTTCCCATGAGCTAGAATAGGTATTAGTATCCACAATTTGTAAATGAGAAAGCTGAGCCTCAGGAAAGTACTGATGTATCTGAGGTCACACAAAAACTAGCAGGCATAGCTGGGACTCAAATCCCAAATCTAATATTAGATTTAATGTCATTTCCTATAAAGAAGGCTTTTCTTGGAGTAAACACTGAAGTCATTGAGAAACTGAGGCAGGTAGGTAGTTGTAGTCCTTGCATCATCTCAGAATTACAAGTCTTACCCAAAATCATCTAGTTTATTTCTCTACCTTTAGATAGGCCTCTTTTCAATGTGCTTTGTAGTGGAGGTTGCCAGATCCGTGCATGTACTTCTCTAGAAAGTGTTCAGGATTTGATAAACCCAACTATCAGGACCCATGTTCAGGACTAATTAAAATCCTCCAAACTTTTGTTTATGAACCTCACCTCTCACGTCTTGATCAGAAATTTACTGCCAAGAGCTGCATTAAAAAAAAAAAAAGAAAGAAAGAATTGCTCTGGGATTATAGACAGCTGTTGTGCTCCACCTTAAATTCTTACAGATATGGTATTCAAGATCCTCATGTGAAAGACAACACATATATGGTACATCTTAGCATCCTATTAAGATGAAAATCGAGCCCTAGGTATCCAATTACATTCCACTTATTAGGGCAATTTATAAAAATAATTCTGAAGGTATAAGCACCCAATTTCTTGTTCCACTAATTTACAACCCTTTATTGGGCCTCGATCCCCCATTTATAAAATTGAGTCTTTGAAGTGATGTCTAACCAATATGTTGTATACCTGAAACTAATTAAAAAATGAGTATTTTAGTTAGAAGGGCTCTGAGGTCCTCTGTAACCAGAACAATGTGTGATTACAAGTCCAGGATGCACTTCTAATTAGCTGCTGGTGCACCAAGGGGTTATACTCCTCTGTGGGCCAGTCAATCAAGGGAGGTAATATATCTAATTATGCAAAGTTTCTTCTGGATATGTCATTCTGTGATACTGTGGAAATGGTTCTTGTGTTTCTGAAATGGATCATATCACCTTTAACTAGATACAACCATCAACACCTGCTTCCTCTTATCAATGTCTTAATGGCTCCAAGTTTGTTCTCTGGCTTCTGATGATGCTTTGTGATGGAAATTTTGAAGAGAACAGCAAATGGCTCTCTGTAGCCCCAAGTAAAGTTCTTTATTGTGATATTTCAGGCTTATTGATGTGGACAAAGGTAAGAGGTTCCAACAATCTGTGCACCTATAGGCAAGCCTGAGAAAAGGCACTATTTCTGAGAGTAAAACACAGGAAAGCAACTTTTTAACCAGATGCACGTATTTTCTCTTATATGTCAAATCCAATAACAAGTATATATCAAGTGCCTAATATATGCTAGACACAATTCTATGAGCTGAGGGTATCTATAAGTGATCAAAACTGACAAAAATGCTTGCTTTTAAGGAGCTTGCCTTCTACCAGGGAAGACTGATATTAATTAATCAATAGAATATTGGGCTAAGAGGATAGAGTGTGATGGGGTATAATATTTTAGATAGAGTGGCAAAGGAGGCTTTTCAGATAAGGTGACAGTTGAGCAGAGAGTAGAAGAAAGAGAGGTAGCTAGCCAGTTGGCCATCTGGGATGAGAATATTCAAGGCATAAGGAACAGTGAGTCCAAAGGCCCTGAGGTTGTAACATGTTTGAAGTTTTCAGAAGAACAGTGAGGTGCTGCTGTGGATAGAGAGCACTTGGTAAAGGGGAGAGTGGTAAATGATAGAAATAGAGAAATAGCCTAGAACAATTTTATGTGGTGCCTTATAGGCCATGGTAAGAACTTTAGATGGAGATGAAACAGAAATATATCGGCAAAGAGTTGTACATGGAGAAAGATAATATATATGACTTCAAGATAGATCTCAGGAGGAAACTGCAGGAAACAGCAGAATGAGAGATGTCCCTAGATCTCATCCCTTGAAAAAACAATAAACTGAACATCTAAAACTCAACAAAAACATCCAAACTGCACAACAGCATGTCTGAGCGTGGGATCCGCGCATAAAAGCTACCACAGGTAGGAACCCCGGGTGTCGGGTGGTGCACGGGACAAATAAAGAACCTGCCTCTCCCAGCCACCAGAACTCCCTGCAGGAGGAGGGGGAGGGGAAAAGGAGTGGTGAGTTTGAGTGGGGATTCCCTGAACAGCCCTGTCTGGGAAAGTTGTGTGCTCCCTGTGTCTGGCTGGCAGCAGGACTCAGTCATCAGGACAGAAGTCAGAGAAGCAGCTGGCAGAGAAACAATGGTTGATTTTTTACCAAGTGCAGTTGCAAAACTGAGGCTGACCCACAGTCCCCGAAACTGAACCCAGAGGGCCCCTCCCCGCATACCCTCCAAGACAAAACACCATGGAGCCCCAGGGGAATCTGAGCAAATGCTACCAGAGCTGTTGCTAACATTGACAAGGAATGAAACTGAGGGTAGCGAGTGTGATTAAATATTTATCAGAAAATAAAAAGGCATTTTTAAGCTTTATATATATAAAGCAGAGAACCAAGAGGCTTAGATGTCACTTACTGGAAACCAAAAGAAAAGCTTCTTCTTTGCAACAGACTAAAGAGAAACCTTTATATAATAAATCTGCATTCTGTAAAAAAAGCAGAATACATTTCCATTAATGCCCAGATGGGGAAATAATCAAATAAACACTATGAAC